GTTTCAGTATGATTAAAATGATAGAGGTGGTCTATAGAAGCTGGTGTTGCTCAATGCATCTCTTCTCCTGTTGAAAGGTAGAAATACTGTATTATCTCAGTAACTTTGTTTGGGCTTTTGTGGTACTTGCTTCACCACTGGCAGCTCCATCCAAGGGCCAACAATTCTCTGAGGAATTTGACCAGGTGCTTCCAGCTTTGCTAAGAGAGTTATCCTTTGCTTCTGTAATCACACTTAGTCCCAGTCCCAGCTCTTTCATTTGAAAACACCATTTGTGACCCCTTTGCTAATCTGCATGCATATGAGCCCCCTTGGTTGCAGCATTGTCATTTGTATTGCTCTGTGCTCCCTGTACATGGATTAAACCTGTCACATCTTCCAGCTGCACAGTTCTTCATTCAAGCTACAGTGTATTGCTTTTAACTCTAATGGTCCCAAACTTAACCCCTAGTCTTGGTCACACTGGTAACCATCACGCATATAATTTAGTAAGTCATCTTTGAGATGATGATATGAATACCAGTGTACTGTGACTCATTTTGACTACTGATCATATAACATAATAATTATTGTTTTCAAAAAGGGATGATTGAACCTGAGTAAAGAGTTCTGCTTCCCTGGAAACCCATCATTTTGAAAACTAAAAAATAATGTCTAATTATTAAAAATCATATTTTTAATATAAGTTATTTTCTTTCAAGTGATCTGGCACCATAAAAAATTTATATTTTAATATAATGTAACTTCACTACACTCTCAGTACCATTAGACTCCTGGCTTCTGCAGCCTGTACTCTCTCTATTGTACCATGATATACAAGAAATAGGCAACCATTTCTTGCAGCAATCAAGTATTGAATACAAGTTTATTTACACTGATGGATGTATTTAACTTGAGCAGAAAGACTACATGAACCTTTAGGACAAACTTTGAATGCTTCCTCCTAGAGAAATTGTGTGGGGAAGACAGACAGAGTGAAGCCCTGATAACCTGAGGATATAGGGACTTTGTGTGTGTGGAAGATGCCAACAGGTCCTGATAAAGCTGTCTTTTCAAATGGTTCATCTGTAACACAATTTCTGGACGATCAACAATACAACCCAGACTTTCCATAGAAAAACATTTACAATCTGATGCTTGATTTAGGAGATTTGATGGTCTCTTAAGATGTCTGCTCAGACTAACTGGTCTGAGGGTTGCAGCACTAAGAAGAACAAGACCCAGCACAGACAATAACAAAGGCAGTGCCAGAGATACAGGCTTACAAAACTGAGAGCAGGTATTTTCTTGTCTTGTAGATCAAGTTGCAAAGCCAGGAATTGTGGTCAAGCTTCAGCACCTTTTTCCTCTCCCTAGATTAGAACTGAGTGATGCAGTATAGATACTCAACCACACTCTTACACTGTCTGCTCTTGACTACGACTTTCACATTTGCATTCAACTCAAGCTTTGGTTCAGTGAGCAATACCTCAACAAATCAAGTTCCCTGCTTGTGAGGCTCCTTGTGGCACCACAGGCTCTGCTCCTATGTTCTCTTCTGTGCATAAATATCCTTCTCTTGAGCAGAAAGCTGCAACCATGGTAGCATTGCTCCAGAAACCTCTGCCTTGCTACATTTCCTCTGTTGACCTCTCAAGTGCGCATCAGTTATGTGATGGGAGTTCTCCAGGGAAAAACAATACCAGAGCAGCTCCAGCTCTTAGGGCTCTGCAGCAAAAGCACTGCAGCAACACAGCCCCTCTGAGTACTGCCCTGGCTGTCTGTGTAATGCACAATGTTCTAAGGGAGAAGAGAGGTTTCTGCAAGCTTCCCTAAAGGAGGGGATAACCACAACTTACACAAACTTTAGCTGAACTACCAGCACTTTGTAATTGGTGAGATATGCAGCACTGAGTACTTGGACTTCTTTTGTAGCTGTATGCATCAGCTTTTCAGTGGAAGCATACTAATACTGGTCATATCTCCTAGAGAGCTCCTGATTTCTTTTCTTTTTATATTCAGTTTTTGTATATATGTAAATATTATTCATTCTACAATAGAAAGTATCCAGAAAGCAAGGCTCTCTTCTACTGCTTGATGATGTAGCTCTGAAAGTGAATGATTTATTGCATTGTAAACCCTCTATCTTAATTTTGCTGTGTAATATGAACTGCGGGTTTTGCTTTGATTTTGGAAGCTACTAAGTCCCTTTACAGTGTACAAAATTCACTGAATTCATCTGCATTTTATAATAACATGACTTCACAGAGCTTGATCAAAGTTGGAAGCCCTTTACAGCTCAAGAGTGGCTCAGACAATGTTTTTGTTCTGGGAAATCAAGTCCTGAAAGATTAAAACCCCAGTCCCATTTTATTTAAATGAACACATTTCATTCCTCAGCCACTAGTAGCAAGCAGTGAGCTGCACACTAAGCTTGTTTCTTTCTCCATCATTGATTTTATTACCTCCACAACTCACTCCTAATCTGGATGCATCAGCTGCTATCATATTGGTTTTGATCTGCTACGTTGCATGGTGTAAAAGATTTCAACTTCATGGCTCTTCTCCAAGCAAATAAAAAGAAACCAAGGAAATACTTTTTTCATTCATAGCTATTCATACTCCACTAAGCAGAGCTTGGGACATCACGAAGAGGAAGGCTGCAGGTTGACAGTTCAGGAGTAAATACCACAGCAACAAAAATGCATTTTGTTATACATACCACATTCTGTTGGAACACGCTTATCTGAAACATGACACAATGTGGGATTTACTGTCTCAAGGCATTTCCTATGGCCCTCTCCCCCCACCCCATTCACTCTATCTTTACACAGGACCAAGCTGCTGAATATGCATGCACTTTCCTTAAGAGGTTTGGAATTGGGGTGGCATAGCCCAGCCACAGTAAAAAGCAAGCGTAAGGCTGGGCCATAAGAATGTACAACATGAAACTGCTGTTCATGCTGGGGACAGCACTATGTATTTTGGGGGCATTTAGCAAAGAGAATGCAAGAGACTACCAGTGATGCCAATCAAAATGGTCCATTTTGCTGATTTATGGCATCTTCACACGTACTAAAACTCTCTTGCTTTCTCTTTCTCACTACAGCTTTACCCTCAAACTTGAATTGCCGATCTGATTCACTGTCCCGTAAGCTGATGACTCTTTGCTCCGCAAGCCATTCATGCGCCGCACGGACTCAACGCTCTCATTCCCAACAGCCACAGTCTGTGCCTGTCCCCAGAGTGTCAGCATAGATAGCAGCAGCAAGAATGGGAATACCACAGCAGCAGCATGACGACACACACACACACAACAGGCAAAGAGAAGAATGGCTTGGTTAGAGAAGACCATCATGCAAAACAATGAGAATCACTTTCAAGGCAAAATAAACAGAGAAAATCGTGAGAGACAAAATCAAGTACAGAGGTGCAGAAAATACCTCCTAAAGAAACTGCCTTAGTAACATTGTTCCCTATTTTGAAATTTGTGCAAGCAGATTCATAGGAAAAAAGCAAGCCTATGCAAATGGATAGGTCTCACTTACTCAGCTGCATATTTCCTTGTATTTAATTATGTCGTTACCTATTTTGCAAAGTATCCATGCACCACGAGGCTTAGGATAAACACAAATCTTCTGATGATTTGGTTTTAAATAACTTTCTTTTCACAGTCACCAAAATAATAGCTTTTGAAGCAGATGAATGACCACTTCCATGGACCAAAATCTCATAAACTTGAGTAATGTCACTGGATACTGTTACTTACCAAGGATGGCTACTTGTTCACAAAAACAGATCTTGCATCCAAAAATGAAATTACAGATGCCATACAGAAGCTTCTGCTGCTGCCATGCTGGGTTTGAAAACAAAGGCTTCCAGTGGCAGTGCGTGTGGCCTGTAGACAGGCAAGCAGCTCTGCTCTCTCCTGTAATCTAATCTTCACTGGAATCTCAATTCATCTGACAATAATATTAAACTAGAGAACAGCTTTCTTCCCAGAGTATCCATCAAATATTACATTAGCTACAGAACATTTGTTAGACAGACCTGTCAAAATACAAATGCCCTGTGCCATTGTTGTCATCCCTCTTGTAAAGGAAACCATTATTTGTGGCTTGAAGCACTCGTGCAGCTCAAGCAAATATTTACTTCACCTAGCAAATATATATGTAGAGTTTACAGTTCCAGATTCTCTAGACATGGGAATGATCATGACTTAAATAAAATTCAATTTAATGTCTACTCTTGTCTTCCCATTTACTGAAAAAAAAACCAACAAAACAACCCAAGGCAGATGGACAGTCTTCCTAAAATTATTTCTAGACTGATATCTAGGTTACAAACAATCCCCTCTTCTATATGTCAGTCACTGGCATAAAATTCTGTGATAATGACACTTACAAAGAGGTATTTTGCTAAAAATTTGAAGTTTGCATTGGTCTCAAAGTGTGAAATTACAGAATCCAGAGAGGAAATTCTCCTAATCCTTCTCCTTTTTTAAAATGGCCATGTTTTCTGGTTTCAGCTGGGAAAGACACCAGCTGCTGGTGGTGTAAAAGTGAGGGCAGAACTGCCAGTCATTGCAATGGCTATCCTAGGAAATCTCCCATTTTAGGATAGCTAGGGCAGCACTAGAAGAGACAGATCTCAGGCATGTTCTGATGACAGCACACCTGGATAATATCATTCTTTTATCTGTGTCATTGCATCCAATAGTTCCTTATCTACTGGTGGTGCCACGTAGTTGCACAGTATTTGTAGAGGTCCAGCTGCCTCAGCAGTTGCATGAAGAGAAGAAAATGGAATTGGTGACCAATTACTGACATTTGTCAATAACTTAATATACTGCAAATAAACCCAGTAGCCAATTATGAGCTCTTTATCAAGGAGTAAATCACTCAAAAGGAAACTTTAGAAAAAGACTCTCCTGCAAGGGCAAGAGTGAGGTAAGAAACCAGCTGCACATGATCAGGGTAGTCAGGGCACATTCAGTCTCCCCAGGTAAAGAGCAGCTGTACCTTGTTTTGTCTTCTTTGCCTTCTCCGAAGCCTCAGGAATTCTTTGTGCTGCCGTGAAACGAAGTTGACTGCTGCATATTCCAGCAAAGCAGCAAAGACAAAGAGAAGACACACAGCCATCCAAATGTCAATAGCTTTTACATAGGAGACCTAGAAAGAAATAGGACACAGCCTGTTAAATCTCAAACTACTCCCTAAGCCGAAGATGTCAATGTGAAAAAAATAAACACATTTTTGCACAGCATGAGTTCCATGAGGTGGGTTTTTCTTGTTTTGTGTTTTGATTTGTTAATTCATTGGCTGATTAAAAATACATAATTCCACTATTAATGGAAATGAGTGCCCACAAAGAATACATAAATGAGCTATTGCCTTTAGAGAAAGATCAGTGTTCTTAGAGTCACAATCAAAGTTTGGAAAAAAGAATACAAATATAAAATATGATAAAAAACCTAAAAAACAATTGTAGGAAGTTTATAGGTTTCACCTTTTTAAATTTTTATGAACCAGTTACCATAATGCTCAATTAGCTATATTTGGTATCCACAACCTCGAAGTAAACTCAGGGTATTCTATTGTATGGGCTGATACAACTTTACCAATTAAATATTCCATCCTAGTTGCTTGAGACCTTTACCCAACATCTCTATAAGAAAAATAAATCTTCATAGATATTATCTACTAAAAATACCCAAATACCAGCTGCCTCTGTTCTAGTAAAAATCTATTCTGATTTGAATTGACTGGTCTACAATAAAATCAGATATATTACAGCACTGCAATGTCACAAGATGTTTATCATATTACCCATACTGGACCAAACAGTAGCCAATTAATGAGCTACACACTATGCATATCAAAGGCACATTCTCCATAGGTGTTTGGTCTCTGCCTTTCTTTGTAGTCTTACAGTTTTTAAGCAGAGTTCTTATGATTAGGTAACAGCAGGTTGTCTCTTTTGTTTATCAGGTATTACCTCCTGAGTGGAATTACAATGATCTGACTTAATGTCTACAATGTACATGTGAGCTAGTTGCATAAATTACTTTGACATAAATAAATCAAGGAATGAAGAACAATGGGCATATCTAGGATGCAAGGCATTTGAACTGTTTTACATGTCTTCTCTACAATGAGATTAATAACACCCAAATAGAGTTTCTTCTTCTTCATGTCTGTAAGGAGGAGCTTAGAACACCTCTGTAGGCAGAGGCACACGAGGCTTTAAATAGTTGTCTAAATAACAGCATCGCAAATTGACACATTAGGTACCAAGCATCCATTTGCTAATTCAGCAGAGAACAAATCTTCAGTATCTCACATTAACCAGTGCCTTGGACATGCCTCAGATACTCAAGGTCACCTCAGTTTGACGGAGACCCATGGCACCCCCATACAGATGAATCAAGATAGGCAAAATGGATTGTACCTAAACCCCAAAATATTATAAACATTTAGATAATAACCTGCAGGCAAAACATTTCATTGCAGCTAAAACATATAGTGGTCTGAAAAGGCAGCAGAAAAGGATATTTTTGTTCCTGACACATGTTAAGGAGACCAAACCTCCACATTGGAAAGCTCCACTTCTATCCTTTGCATACAAAATGACCTCACTCTTTGGCTGGACAACCATTCTGTGATGGAAGGAATCACACCTCTAGGTGTAAATTGCACCTCTAGGTGCAAATAGGTTTTGCTCCTATTTGCCATGTGCTTGAATTGCATCATTTTTCAAAGTCCATAAAAGAGCTTTTGTTAATGTCAAATGGAATATACTGCACTATGTGCTTCAGTAAGCAATATGAGCAGAGGAACTGCCATTTAAAGCACAACAGAAAGGATACAGAGCTTCATCCTGCAAATCCTGAACACTGAGAACGACATTTTAGAGGAGCCAAGCACTGTTATTCAGCCTGCATCAGAGGAACATGCCTTTCAGCAGCAATAGTGCAGCTCCATGTGGCAATGCCCACCATGCAGCTCACACAGGCTGCCATGTAGCAGGCTGAGGTGACACCATGAATCTGTGCTTTCCAATTAGATACACAGCAGGTATGCAGCTCACTCCCCCACACATAAAAAATTGTACAAGTTACATCTTTACTGAGCAGCTGTGAAAACCAGAGAAAACTCAACAGTGTCCCAGACACTCTGTGCCACAGGCTGAGGCACAGTAGGAATCAAGTCACTGTAATTTGTGTAAAATGCAGCTGAGATTAGGTTGTTTGCTGCTTTCCTTGAAGGGGCAGTTTGTTTCCTTTACAAATGGCCTTAGGAGATGTATTAAACATGAATAAACAGCTGGACTGTGCTGTCAGAGACAGCACAATACAAGGAGCTGAAGTCAGAAGAATCAGCATTTCTGACTGTACAAATCCTGTCCTGGTGGGCCTAAAGCAGGGAAGGCAAGATGACAAAGGAAGCCCTGAGTTAGTCGTCCTGCCACTTATACTGTGCTACCATAAATGGCATCCCCATAGCTCTGCTGAGCCAGCTGGATTATTTTAACTCCAGCCCGCTGGGCTGGAATCAGAGAATCATGATATCCTTGGCAGATACATAGCTTGTTCTATTGTTTGGCCAGGGCCACACCATGGCACAGCCTTAAATGAGAAAACAGAAAGCAATTGCTTCCAGCACCATGTTAAAAATAAATAAAAGGTGAAATCCTGCAATGAGTAAAATCTGGCACCTTTGTTTTCAAATTAATTTATTTAGTTTACCTATGAATCCTCAGTATATACAGCATTGTGCTGCTCAAAGCCTAAAAACCTATGGAATTTTCTGACATGCTCATAGAAGCTGGAGTCTGCAAACTGAGTAAATCATGAAAGCCTAGACACATCCATTGCTCAGGCAGGTTCTTCCATCAAACTCAAAACCAACATTATCAGCTAGGGGGTTTTCCCCCAGATGATAGCAAAGCATTAACACTCCTATGTTTGTTCAACTTGAAGGCTTATAGCATCAGCTTTGATAATGACTCATCAGACAGTACTCTCTCTCCAGCTTCCTTAACTGCCATGTCCATGCTTCATGCTCCATACTCATTGCTGAGTACAGGTAGCACAGTGCAGACTGATTTTTTGTTGGAGGTTTCTTCTCACCTAACTTAAAAAGCACTGTGGAGGATTTTTTTCAATTGATGTTAAGAAACAAGCAATTTTAGGACAAAATTCTTCTAAGTGGAACATATTATTCTATAGATATCTACACTATAGTCAAATAAACTGTACCTTAAAAATGCCAGTCTCTCATTTTTGACCAAGACTGGAGTTTTGGAAGGCTATTTCAGGTATACATGTATATTTGATACACACTTACTTTGGCTAGATAAAGCCTATGATTTATTTCTGTTAGCCAGTACCTTGATGTAAAACTAATCAGAGCAGAGCAGAATAACAGAAATGACCCCACATGAGCCTTACGTAATAGAGACTGTTACCTAAGCATTTGCCACCTTTCCCATAATTTCACATGCAGCACAGAATCCAGCAACAATACAAATTCCAAGTTGACATTATTAAGTTAGCATGCATAAAATAAAAAATAAGTGGGGTTGTTTCAAAGGCAGACCTTGTAAAACTTCCACTGAAAAGCCTGTAACATTGACAGTACACTGGCTCCATTTACTATAAAATACTTTTAGAAGTGGATATTTGAAAACTCTGCCTTGTTCAGTGTTATCATGTTCAGAAATCAATAAGATTTTCTTGTCCTTTACTTTCTTTAAATAGCTGCTCCATTTTTTACTGCATGTTGCCAAGCTTCCTCCCTAATGCTGTTTGGGAGGAGGGGATTTAATGGCTCCCACCAATAAAACCATAAATTGTATCAATTATTCAGATGCTTTGTAAATGTTTTAGGGCCAGCTAATGAGGGAACTTTTTCCAAATTAGAGCTGTCTGCATCAAGAGCCAAGTATGGTAAGGCTAAGTATAGTTAATGTGACAAAGCTGCTTCTTTCCCTTCATAATTTTCCTCATTTGTTATTTGGCCATACCCTCTGGATAAAAAAAGACCAGCTTGTTCTCCACACCCTGCTGTAGCATCACTGGCCCCAGTGAAGTTCCTGGAAATGAAAGTACAAGGAGAATTACACTGTTGGTGAAGGACTTGAGGGGATTAAACCTTCCACTTCTCAAACTGTTTTTATTTTGTCACCGTGACTCTCCCAGAGCTCTCGTGTGTCACCACCAGAATGAAGAATGCCTTTGTGGAGAGAATCCAGGGGAAAACATGGCCATGGGTTCTGCAGCTCAGCAGCTGTCATTTGTTGACATTTTTGAATCAACCCAAATGTGAGCTCTGTTTTTGCTCCAATGCCAGTCTCATGAGAAGCCAGGGAACTGCTTTAACTCTCTGATTCTGTCAAACTAATGCAAAATGGAAATAAAGACACATCCATCCACTCCCAGCGTTCTACACAGTGAAAATACTTTCCACATGCAGTGGAAGGTACTCAGTTTGTGTTAAAAAACATATATGCACTTATTTTGGTAGGTAGAATCTTATGAAAAAATAGCTTTTACTTGTGATATGAAGCCACAAACCTCTGTTTTTACACAATGCCATCTTCTAGTCAAGGTTTTTTAAAGAATAAAATTTTCAGCTACCATGAAATCTTACAATTTGAAATTAACTTCTCCCATGCATTAAAATAAACTCTTGGAGAAAAAGGTTCCAAAGAATTTTCCAGACTGGAAAGGTGGAAATAGAATAAAGTATCATTTAAAATCAAAACTGAAAAAAAAGTTACTTTAAATGAAAAGTGGGCAATTTTCAAAACAAAACAAGAAACAAGAAATGTTTAATTTAAACAGGGTGAAAAAAATAGTACTACCCTCCCTCTATTATTCAGATTCCATTTGAAAGTGTCCACCTTGCTCAGCAGGGATTCACAACTTGTTCCAGCCACCCAAAATTGCCTTTTTTTTTTAGTGAATAAACTATTCATCCAAACATTTTTGCTCTATTTCTATTGCTGGTTCTGCCAAGTCATGAGATGCTACACCTCCCACTCACTGCTGATGCAGAAATAAATGCTGACTGCATTCAAGCCAGGAAATGTATGGGAAATATTTATGGTTTGTTTTTCCTTCAAAGATAAAGGGAAATTTTCTTCAAGTCTCTGAAGATGATCAGCG